CCCCCCCCCCCCCCCCATTTCTTCACAGTTATAGAATGCAAAACTTGACATCGGTTAGAGGGCCTTTGTTAATGCAACATCTATGTCTTTGAATGTCTGAATGTAAGAAAAGGATTAGATGAAAATACAATTTTCTGGTTGTTTTTATTCATCCCTGTGTGAATGATGACTTGTTTTATTTTATTTCACCTGTTTCAACATGTGTGAGAGCTAAAAACTGCCAACAATAGTGACTCACATCTCCACTGTGAAGGTCAACTGTAATTAGCTGTTTGCTGGCAACAATTATTAATGAGTTTCTCTTATGGAGAAAATGACACATGTTCATGCCCATACATGACACACATTTCACCTGACCAGAAGCCAGTTTTTTCTCTATTATCATGAGGACTTCATTACACAGAGATTTTTTCAGGTTTTGCTGTATTTATGTTTCATAATTTCAATTTTATATTCAGTATTACTTCCTATTTATGGACTATGATAAAAATTACTATATGGTATCTTTGGTAATCAGTAAAAATGGTGAAAGTCAAATGTAATTTGTATTGGCTTCCTTTTTTACTGATCAGCAAAAATATTTTAATTTAAAATATCCATACTGTGCTTGCAGATTTTTTTGGTGTTTGTTCATTATACTATGTAAGAAATGTACATGGTAACCATTAGATCTTCCATCAACTGCACACATTTTAGCATAGTAAGACAGTGTAATCCAGAAGTCAATCATTCTTCTGAGCAGACCACAAAAGACAGAAATGGTGTAAGAGGAGAGTGAAACATCTTTCAGGACTTGGAATAATGGATATCAACCCACCTCATTCAAGATTCCAAGAACAACTTCAAACTGGGTTACTTCGCACAGACACAACAACCAAACCAAACTAGGAAAACTAACATACAATTTTGTTTTGCTCTTTACATACCACATTGTGATTACATGAAAACAATTTCTAGTGCTATTTTTCTTGTGAATAAGCTGTTAATAGGGAGGGTTCTGAACAAAGTGCAAAAAAGAAATAATAAAACAACTAAAGGCCTGTCCCTTAGCTTGGAAAGTTCCACTTTAAAATTTATGATTTTGATTTGTTTTGATACCAATACTGATCTGGTAGATCAATTTAAAAATTTAAAAGTTCCACTTTAAAGATTCTATGAAGACAGTTCAAGCTTATGGAAAAAAGGAAATTACTATCAAATCTTATAGATATGCATGTAAGTGATGGAAGGCTGAAGCCAGAACAGGAAATACTCCTAGTTCCTCAACTGCAAATGATGATAATCATTTCAGTCAGGGTACAATTTTCAAATTTCTCATACTTTACTACTATAACCACCTGTTATTACTTCTTCAAATATGGTATTTTAAATGTAATGATTTACAAAAGTACCTGGTTTCAGTGTCTGCTGAAAAACAAACCATGACTTACCTATATATAAGATAGAATTTTTCAGTTCAGCCCCTTTAAATCATATCAACATTACAAAACTGAAAAAGCACTGGACTGAAGGATATCCATACAAATCCTAATTCAGCAAGCACAGTGATAATTAGCACAGTCACGTACTAACTAACATTGTTATGTACCTAGATATTTTTTTGTTAATGGCAAGAATCTTGCGGGTCCAGGAGAAGAAGCAACCTCCTGCACTCACCCATCCATGAGGTGATAAGTGAAAATTAATAAAGAGAACAGGAGACAAAAACAAGAATTAATTTCATAAGGTTAAATGGTTCTTCAATGCCAAGTCAAAAACAATGATTCATTCATTCTGCTGCATTTCATTGAGTATGTTTATAGATTATTTATAACATGGGCATGGTATCTTACTAATCTTCTTAAATTAAAACAAATAAATTTAAGTTTCATAAGAATTACAACATTATGGAAGTGCATTCCCATAAAAAAAACAAAAAACAAAAACAGAGTCAGTCCTTATTTAGTGAAATAATAAAAAGAAAGTAATGATGTGGTATATGGCTATAATTCATTGTGTTTTATTCTTTCAAAGAAACTCTGTAGCTAACTACTAACTCCGATATGCAGAATCCTTCTTGAGAAGCTAACAGTACACTCAACTAGTCACGAAAATTCCCACCTTTCACGTAACCTGAAGTTTCATTATTGTATTCGCAACAGCCTGCCACTGGTCCCTATCATAAGCCAGATGAATCCATTCCTACTGCATTTAAAACCATTTGTTCCGTAACTATCACGCACAAATATTCCACAGAAGAGTTAAAACTCCTTAAAAGTAACAATTATACAACTATAAATATTGGAGTGAAACTAAATATATATATATTTTCTAATTTATGATATTGTTATGTTTTGTTTATACTTCCACTCAATACAGTAATGTGGCAAAACTGATTGCTGTAAATTTTTAATTTGTGTACATATTTGATAACGTCCCGCGCCGTACCACGTGGTCTGAGGCATCATGCTTCGGACCGGCGATACGGAATGCGTGCTGGCTCGAGTGTCGGGGGAGAAGAAATTTTCTCATGAGATTTTCGACCAGTGTATGGGACCGGTGCCAACCCAGCATCGTGAGGAAATTGGGGAGCTACAATGGGTAGCGTAATCCGGTCAGGAAAGCTAGCAATGGCTGGGAGTTCGTCGTGCTGACCACACGTCACCCTGTATCTGGTTGGATGATCGTTCACCTCTGCTTAGGCATGTGAACGTGAGACCAGCAGTCAAGCTAGTCGGCTTTGGCTCTCTGGAGCTGTTACGCCACAGATTTAATTTTTTACATATTTGATAACACTGTCTTGTTCACCATACTTAAAAATCTGTATCTTGGTTTCAACTTGAATCACCAAAAAGAAATAAATGGCAAAATTCTTCAATGTACGATCGTATGCAAACAACTATTATATTTTAATTATGTTATATTTAAAGAGAACACATTTTGTTAATTCCTTTTGTTAGTATCCACATTCTCCTTCATATTGTGCAGCAAGCACACCTTTAAAAGCTTCGGAATTCAGTGGCCAATGCAATCTAAAAAACTCTCCAAGGACCACTGGAGAAGGGTAATACTTGAGTAGATGGAAACAGAACAGTTAAATTTTATTCTTGTATGTTATAACATACAAGTTTAATTGCTATGCAAAAACAATTCTTAAAAAAGAGACAGATTATAAGAATAACTAATTTCTCAGGGAGACCAAATCTAACACAGCAATCACTATGATGTATTGGAGTTAATTTCTTGCATAGAGATTATGAATGCAGCCAGTCTATTCCACTTGTCACAGGGACAATGATTAAAAAGTATTCAAGACAATAATGTGTTTTGTTATTCAGTGACAAAAGGAATACTGTCAATTTTGTTTTTTACTGAAATGAACAGATACCTCAGTTTAGGCTGACCAGTATGGGTTATGGTTCTCTGGTTTGTGATGTGTATCTCATAGGTAGCTATCAATGTTTCAGGAACATGTTGCTTCAATCCCCAGGGTAGTAGAAGGAGGAAATATGGTCCTCTGACATGTTATTAACCACAAAATGACTACAAGGCATCATAATCCAGAAGACCACAGCCCACAATGTAAATTATTATTTGTGACAATATAAATATCTTTATTGCATCACCTTTGTTTTCATCTATACTCTATGTTGAAACCTCGTGGTGACATTTTAATGGACATTTAGTCAGTAATGAACAATAAATACACAATGGTATTTTAGCATGCAGCCTACAAAGTTTCCACCCTGCCTCCCATGACATCTCCTCTGCAACAAATGCAATTGCTACTGTTTCACTTTATAATTAATACCATAACAAAACAAATTTTAAAAAAGTATAATGTATGTCCTCTAACACAAATAATGTGATGCAACTTCCCTTAAAAGGGACTCAGTGGCTGTGAACACAAAATTATATTTACTGGTGACACTGAGAATGGTCAAAAATGACTTATGCTTTGCAATGGGAATGTTCTTCCATATTCCTCCATAATTTCCATGAAATCTCACTAAATGTGGTTCACATAAATGATGTTATTATGAAACTGCACTGTTTTGAAAATCCTGTTTATACAAGAATGGTAAAAATATTACAAGGTGTAATAGGATCATACATATAAATATTATAAGTTACATACAAAGCAATGATTTCTGCCACAGCTGTTTATTCTTTTTATCAGCATGACATAAATTGACAGCCTTTTACCTCTGGATGGATGGCAGACTGCAATCCTCAAAATAACATAGCATGTCTAATGGATGAAAGGTTACTAAAACATCCAATAACAGCAAGAGAGAATACTCAAATAATATGATGAAAACTCAATGGGGACAACTAGGTTCTTAATTCCAGGACACATATAACCTTGTGTAGCAAACATTATGTGAAAGTAGAGGTACTATAATCCATAACTAAAACAGCAAGACTATTTCCACACTCACAGGTATATGATAATACATATTTAACTTCATACACATGAGGGACCATTTACCAATAAAAGTAATTATTAAGTGAAGGACATGCCAATATTAAAGTACAACTTCTGAAAATTGGTACCTTCAACATATAAATATTTATACAATTCTGTTTTCTGGGGATTAAAGGTATCTCATTTTATTTTAAAAATATAATCCAGCTGTGAATGTTTCCTTACTTCAACATTTCTATTTAATCTCCTAGAAAGCTTGAGAGAAATAGCTGCAATTATAATCCAGTTGCTCCTCTTACGCCAAATGCCACAGTCTCTTTGATTACATCTGAAATTATTCTTCATAGGAAAAATGGAGAATTCCTACAAATTTAATATACCATGCCAATTTGACTAAGTAAAAGAGACTCACCATCATCAGAGATGTCACTATGTGGAAGTTCACTGCTATATGCTTCCTGTAGTGAGTCAAGTGAGCCACATCGCAATGATCCAGTTAACGGTGATGGTGGCTGTGAAGATAATACTGGTGGTACCAACTCAAGCTATAAAGTAAATCAATTGTAAAAAACTTTTAAATGGTGTGCAATAACATAACAACATGAAAACATAATCGATCACAGACATTAACTCCAGAGTGACCTAAACCTCTTCCACATCTGACATAATATAAAGCACACCTAAAATTAAATGTTCCCTTCGGTGCTTAGCATTTTAAATTATAGTGAAAAAACACTTTTATCCCAAATTCTAAACCTCTACCAAACACTTCAACAAGTCCTTAAATCTAAGAACACATGTAACAGTGAAATCTCTTATAAGTTATTATGTGATGTCAATTCGTATAAGTGTCCAGAAAAAAATACTACATACAAGCCAAAGTGTGAACTAACCTGCTCCTTTCCTGTTTTGAACTTCTTGAGTGTTCCATTTGGTGGAGGTGCACCTTTCTGTGCATCAAACCTGGTGTTTGTGTGCTGCTGGGCAGACGCATGGAGATTCTCTGCAGATTTTCCATGCTGAAGCACATGCTGTGCGGATGAAGGTAATGTGGTGGTCACAGAGGAGTGTGTTAACAGATTGCTGCCACTAAGCTTGTTACTAGTACCTTCTGTGTCTGGTCTCCCAGGAAGCAGAGATGCACTTAAACAAGAACAAAGTAAGTTTTTATTCAGAAATAATAATAGTAGTTTCAACTGCATCTTCAAAATGCATATGCACCCATATCCCTTCTTCTGGGAAGGACACCTTTGTGCCTTAACTGCTGTTACTATAAATACTTGTTTATCATCATCTTAATCTAAAAAATATGAAGAGAAAATCCTATTTATGTCCAAGTTTAGTTTTGTAAAGCTGATATCAAGTACACAGACAGTGAACTGCCAAGCTCGAAGATTAAAAATGTTAAATTACCCTTAAAATGAATAAATTCTTCATTCTTCCCTACAGGAATACAAATCTCTGTGACATCTTTTCATTTCTGTACACTATGGAAAAACCCAAAGCGTGGAGCACAGTAGGACACAATAGTAAGAAATACTTTTTACACATGGTTCAGCACAGTATCAATGACATATTGATTAAGGAAATATAATGGGTATGGTTTCCTGAAAAATTTGACAGGGTGGATTACATATCTCTTGAGCATGAGCTTCATAGATTTGCTGAAAATGAAACTTAATTACTTAAATTATGTTCACATTAGGTGACAATTAATTACATAAACAGGTAACATGCTCTGTTTTGTTTTGTTTTTTATGCTGAATTAAAATTGCACTTTAGCTAAGAAACAAATGAATTTCAGACTGGTTGTAGATTTTTATCAACACTTGTAGTTTGTTACCTTTTTTTGTTTGCTCCAACTTCAAATTATAAGCTTACCTTGTACTCACTGCTACTACATCAGCTGAAGAAGAAGAAGAACTGGTAACACTGCCATTTTCTACTCTTCCCAATTTTTTTTGGTTATCAGGGAAGATATGTGTTGTTCCCACTTTCTTTGTCTGGGTGAATTTTTGTAATGTAGATGAATGGCTTCTATCAACAGGGCTCCATGGCAATCCTACTTTGGTCTGAGTATTTCCTTGGTCTTTTGATGATGTCATAAGATTTGATTGACAAGTGAGAGAAGTTAAAGAAGATGATTCAGACTTAGTGGATGAAGTTAGATTATTACTATTAACAGAAGATGACAGCAGAGATGATGATGAGAGTTTGCACCCAATACTAGAGGCATGATTTGAATTGTCACTAACTGAATACTTCTTGTCATGTTCAAGAATGCTGTTTATCCCACTGATCTTCTTTGTAATATCTGTTTGGGAAACAAAAATAAAATCAGTACAAAGGATTTAATTTGGATGGTTGTTCTTGTTTTATGAAGAAATTAACTGGAAATCATCTATTAATGACTTGAGAAAAAAATAAAGCATTTAATAATTGTAATAAAAAAACCATGCCTTCTGAAGGCAGATATCTGCCTGGCCATGATAATACCTGATGGGTTATCAGCAATTTCATCCAGAAAGTCTTCACTTTCCATGTCACGTTTTGCCTGCTGCAGTTGTATTTCAATTCTCTTCTTATCTGCTTCTCTCCATTCAGTGTCACGGCGCTGTCTTGTAAGATCACGCTGTAGCATTGCCTTTGTCTCACGTTCAAACCTGATACATTAAAAAGCCTTGCAAATCAGATACATCTGTCTGGAATTTCTCTAACAAACTGCATTTCTTTCATTAAAGTGATTCACTTACGGCTACATGATTTCCAGGAAACTAAGAATACATGAAAATACTACAAGGCAACACCCAAAGAAATATGTAAGAAGCATAATTTAAACAACATCAAAATTCTTACTTTGTACATGTAATATGTAGGCTGCTGATGGCTGTAATGAGGAGAAATTCATTGACAGTTGGATGGAAAGTAAAAAAACAATGGTGCAACAGACACTTATAAGTAAGCAAGCAAAGAGGTAAGCAATTCAAACAATGATCACACTTACATGCTTCACTGACATCACAACATAACATACCTGCGTATACGTTCCTGAGTTGTTGCTGAAAGACCAGCATATGTTCTTATTGTTCCCTCATCACTCCCAGGCATGCTACCACCATCTTGTCTTAAAGGCTGCTGCTGTTGCTCATCCTTTCTGGAACCTTCTGGCTTATTGAATCTGCCTTCTGCTTGCATTTCTCCACCACCAGAATCTACTAAAAAAAACCAAATTTGAATCCATGAAGAAATTGGGAGCAGATTAAATTCAGGAAACATTTCTTAACATGCAGTTCAAAATTTTGTCTTCCTGTCTGCTCTCAAGTAACATAAAGATTAAAATATATACTTTTACCTGTTGCTTTGTATGTGTATAAAACTTGGGTTTCTCACACTGAGGGAAGAACAAAGATTAAGAAGCCTGAGAACAGGGTGCTAGAGGGATAGTTTTTTAGTATCTATAATTTCAAACATATAAACTGTAAAAAACTCATAATTCACTACTAGAATCATTACTTCAAATTTCAATGTTTCCTTTAAATTAATGGGAATGTCCTACATTCCCTTCACTGCCCACAGAAATTAGTTTCAGGGAATACATTCACAGTATATGCCGAAACTTTTGCTGCCATTAAAATATATTAGAGAAATGAGGTACAAAACTGCAACTCACCATGAGCTAAAGAATGATCTGGGATACAAGCGGCTTCACTTGGTGCTGCTGAATCCTCATTCTCTCCTGTGTGAATACTTTTAACTATGTTCCCTGAGAAGACAACTGATTCATAGATGGATGACGCCACAGTTGATGTGGGCTGATCACCACTTTCAAAAGCTGACACAGACTCTTTGCGTTTTGACTTGCTCTCCAATGTATGCTAAGGACAAAAATATCAACTGTATCATTATAAACTAAATAAATCAGAAAAACTGGTTATGTCAGAACAGGAATCTGATTAATGTATCCATAAACTGTACAATATACAAAACAGATTCAGAGAAGTCAAGTACAATATACCAAAATCAATACAAACCATAACATTCCATAATGAAATAATAAATGCAAATAAATAATATGGATTTTTCCAAACACTTTCTTCAGATTAAAATACAACAGTTCAGTTTAAACTCATTTACTCAAACACTATTACACCATAAGGATATAATGTAATCAATAACAGTTAACGTAACATATAGAGACAAGAAACCGTGTCAACGTTATTAATCCTGACCTACTTCTTATTACTAGAAGACTGACTTTGTAAAAGGAAAGGTTAAGAAACGCGACAAAAAACAGAAACTATATAGACAGACAGACAAACAGAGAGAGATAGATGTTAACATCAGATATTTTACCTACAAACCAAATTTCTCTATCCTAATGTTTCAATTTTCTTTTAATTATCTCAGACCACTACTCTGTTCTTTTCCCTTTGTATTTAAACAGACAGACTGTTATAAAAGAAAGAACTCTGCACGATAATAAAATAATACAGCCAACACAACATTTAGGGACCAGGACACAAGAATTAGCTGCCAGTCACCTGTTTAATGTCTGTGTTTTCCCTGACTTCACCAGATGTTTCTTTGCAATCCTCCACTCCTGTTCCACTTCCACTACTTCCTCCTCCTTTCCTTGATTTGGCCTTCTGCATCTTGCGGTTCGCTGCAGAAATGATGGATGAAACAATATCTTTGGCACATATGTCCTTGTTTGGGGAATCTGCTTTCATGCCTGTATCACATAGAGAGAAACAAAAACAACGGGAAAAATAAAGATACAATCATGCACAAGCAACAATTCATTCCTCATCCAAATCATTTATGCCATGGATGAACTAAAAAGAAAAGTCAGGAAAAATACACAAATTTGAAAAATAGAACAGGAATATATCCAAGATTAATAACTAAACCATGCTTACAAATACACAACATTAATTTTATTACTCATTTAGCAAACTTTAGTGATACTGTACATTGGATCTACTCACATTTTTTCTCTGTTATTCATTCTTTCTTCCCATTATATTTCAAACCACAAAGTGCAAATGGGTGGGGGGTGGGGGAGAGACTTTTCTCATACAGCTTCCATACTTAGATAGGTTTGTGAATTTCTCATATTTCATTGATTTCTGGATAATCAGTCACTTCAATTACCTGTACAGCTGATTTTGTGTCTACAAATATACAAACACCGCTGGTTTTACTGGTTTCACTATTATGTACAGTAAATTTCTATGGTATCAACTGCTCTATTAAAATTTTGATAGACTAGTTTCCCAAATGACTTAAGAAAGCAGTTACAGACACTAAGTTTGCCTACAAGCCTACATTGTGAGCACAACTGTTGTTCTGCAAGGCTGTAATTTCAGTAACACTGTAGCAGTTCTTGTGGTAATTTAGATACTCTTGTTTCTTTTGCAAGACATTTACAAGACTTACAACATGCCTGTTCAAACAGAGCTTTAACTTCATCAACTTTTAACATTTAACATTCATGTTCTGATAAACTGTCTATTAACAAACCAATTTTTTTAGCTTTACTGACAAGATTATGGACAGTGTTTCTGTCAAGAACTTGAAAACTAAGAAGCTGTCTTCTGAATTTGCTCTGATTCTTCTTAACAGAGTTATGTTTCACATTTGGTACCCTTAGGTAAACACACCCATGTCCTACACAAATTAAATCTTGAACAATGAATCATACATGAATGTCACAATGAAATACAATACCAATCTCTCTTTTTATTGCTATAGACACAAAGTGGCTGGTGGCACTGGATAAAGTGACACAGTGGAAAGGCCATGCTCGAGTGCAGCTGCCAATATCCTCCCTATGTAACAGTTCACTACATTCATTACGGAAGATCAATAGTGAAAGCATAAATCAAACCAAATAGTGTTCAATTGTTGAATGTTATGCCTTAATCTTCAACATGCAATCAACTCAGATTCAGTCATGGGACACGTAACTATGCCATATACTCAAAATTGAAACAGTGCAATGTTAGAAGATACAAAAAGATGGTACCTCTTAATTAGACACCTTTGGATCAAAGATATACAACAACGTATGACATGCTACAATTAAAGTAAAGCTAATGCAATACCAAACATCTTCAGATTGCAATGAACTACTGTATTGTTCTGAATCTGCTTTGAATCTGTGCTGCAAGGATGACTTTCAGAATAAGAATAAAAAAAGTTAAGATGGCTGTGATTATTCAAACTTCATATCAGAACAACATCCAATAATGAGGACCATGCAGACTGTTACATATTACAATATTACATAATGTAAATATATAACCTAACTGGCCTTCACTAGTGTGCCACTCTACACTCACCTTCAACTTTCTGAATATTGCTCAGCAGAAGGTTGTGGTTTGCTGAGGCAGGTTCTAGCTCAGCAGAATCTTGCGGGAAGCTAAATGGAAAGTTGCTGAAATCATCTGATTCGTCATCAGAGAAAAACCAATCAACCTGCAATTTTATAAAATCTCATCGGTCAAATGATCAAATTATGTTACTGAAAATTTCATACTACTGCATGATACGTATAAGGATGTACAAAGAGTGTCATATATAACCTCAAAGTTTTGCATTGTTGCCATGTTTGAAACTACCAGCATATTAAAACATTCCAAACAGAAGTCAGAGGTATCTGCTTCATCCATCTTCGTACAAAATGCCTTTACGTCTAGATCTATTAGATCTTTAAATATCATCAACAAACAGAAAGATGAATAGAGAGTTTGCAAAGCCACTGTGTTGTTTCATATATTAAAAACAATTAATAAAAGCTGAACATTCTTTAAACATTAGCACAAAATTTCAGGATCCAATATTAAATGACACTATTGTCTCACCCTCATCAGAAGTTCACAAGGTTGATATTTTTGTACTGGTGATGACAGCAAATTAAAAACTACAAAGCTGCAGTGACCTTGTCAATTTAAAATTTATTTTAGAAAGGGGCAGAAAATCTGGCATGATTATATTATAAACTTATTTTTCCTCATAAGATAAGGAAAACAAGCTGAAAAAGGGGGACTGAGGGTAACACACTCACATGAGAGATAAGCGATTCAACAATTCGGCACTGATGTGACATGTCAGTAACCATAGTGACCATGTTGTCATCAGCTGTGCGCACCAATGTGGGGCCAAATACAATGGCAAGATTGCGTGCCTCCATCTTGTTTGTCGTGCTGTGTTCCACCACTTTCTTTAGGTGAAGCAGAAGGAACTTGAGTGTCTCAAAGTGATGGTCTGGTAGGTCATGCAACTGAGGCAAACAAAACAGATACTTTAATAAATTCCTGCCTCGTTTACAACATTAGTTAAGCCAGTATTGTCACACTGCTATACAATTTCCATTTCCACTAACAAGATCTTAATACAGACAAAACTCTAAGATTGTTGGTCTAGTACCTACAACCTTAAAAACACTAAAAAATCAGTAAAAATGTAGTCAAATAATTATACAAACTTTCTTTACCAGCTTTTTGATGGTGACTATTCTTTTACCAGGATCCTCAATCTTGTCTGCTTCAATGAATAGTGGATACAGCTCACTAGTTAGAAGAGCATCTGGCAGTCGTCTGAAGAACAACTTCAGTAGGCTAGAGATCACATTTACATCATTCCAGCGAGGATCCTAAACAAATGAATCATTACAGCATTTATGGGACATTCAAAGCAGTACATAAAAGGCATCCCTGTGACTAAGCACTAAGCCATTAATGCAAACAGGGGATGTGAGAGAAAGACTGAACATATTCTTAACATAGCTACTAGATGAAGGTTACTGAGGATATTTGGTTCCTGCTTTCTAAGATATTCAATTTACATGTTTATTACATTTATGTAGTGTTTTTCTGATGTTATAAATGCATTTTATCAACCCAACTCACATTTCATAAAAGAATTGACAACTAATCAAAACAATCTACCTCAACAAAACGTTAATGTCTGCATGTGGTAAATAAATACCTGTAGATTAATGCTGTCAAATCCTTTATTGACTCCCTCAGTAAGTGAGGACACAGCAGCTGTATTCCCTGGTACACGATATATGCCAATTATGTCAAGTCCTCGCAACTCCACAATGTTTGTGCACAGCTCCACCAGCAATGGGACAAACTCTGAGAAAGATGACTGCAAAACAATACACAGTACACTTAGGTATGATTTAGAAATATAATGGAATCTACAGGAACGCATGTCCAAAACAATGTATTAAAAATATAATCATGAACAACATTTATATTTCATTTCCTTCACATTAAAAGGTTACTAATTTAATCTACATGATTCTTTGATCCAGGACATATTTATAAAAATAATTTAATTTTCTATACTTGTGGGCAGTCTTCCAGAGGAATACCAATGGTCACACCCTCTGGATTGGGAGCTGTGGGAGAACTGGGAGACCCTGAACCCTGCTGAATGCGGCGCAGCTGTTTGGCCACTCTGCCTTTCCATGTTTTGGTCTTTGGAGATGGAATTTGATCTACAGCCAAAGAAGCATACAATTTCACAATTAATCATTTTAAATCATGTTTATGCCTACTCCTTAATAAAATATTAAGAACTTATAAGATACAACAGTGTGAAGAAACAGTAGGGCATTTTGCCCATCTACATATAGTATAGTAATGTGCTCCAGAGCTGGTTCCCAAGAACCTCTGGAATAAGTACATGTAAAGTTCACAATGTCACTGAACCCATGTATGCACACATATACGCATAACTAGAATATGCACTGAATATTTCTATTCTAACCTGTTTGACTTGGTTTGCGTGTTTTGTTGATTGGTGACTGTCCTGTGGGTGAACGATTGCGAAATGATGTTAATTTGCGGATACCCTTGTGGGCAGGGAGAGGAGACAATCGGCTGTTTCCTCCACCACCCACACCCCCTGCTGCCTGTGTTAATTGCTGCTGCTGCTTTGAGCTGCCACCTGAACTGCAATCCTGAAAAGAGTTCAGTAAATATGCTATGAATTTTAACAAACTTAGAGGATGATCAATAAACTTGCACCTGTTCATCCATCTTGAAAATATAAGTCTCTTTAGTCAATCAAAATGCAACCGAACCAACAAAACATAATCAATGATAAGACTGTTTAAGGGACAAAAAGCCTTATCTGATTCTTAGGGATTCTCTTAAAGAAAAAGAAAATTTCACAAATACTTACTAATGCTGATAACCATCCCATGAACCTCAATAGCACACATTCACACTGTTTTCTGCTTACATATTTGTGCCATTGAGTGTCCTGTTCACGTTGTACCAGACCAATGAACAGTCTCAGCAAGATAGTACTGCTGGCTCTTATCACTACAAGGCCACTGTATAAACTACATCAGTTACAATTAAATTCTTTTCTGTTCAGTGAGATTTTACAAGTACATTCTTATCATCATCATCAACTACTACAAGGACTGAGCCTATTGACCCGTTCTGGGACAGTTGTTCAAGGCAACTTGTCCTTATTAGTCTTGTAGAGTGCATTTGAGTCGTGAGTGACAAGCCCACTGCCTCTGAACAATTTATGCTCAATCCTGATTTGTTCGCTAGAACTATCTAGTAGAGAATCAGGAGAGACATGGGTGAGAAATGGCCACTGAATTTTGCTTATGAAACATCCCATATAATGCTCTTAAGGTTCTTTTACGTGTCGTAAATCTACGACATGGGACTGCCGGCTTTACTTCCCCTCCGAAGGAAGTTGTGCTATGGATTTTTATCACCCTTAAAAATCCATCGACCTCGGCCAGGTTTGAACCTGTGAACCTTGAGTCCAGTGGCGAGCCTGCTAACCACTAGTCCACCGAAGGCGACATACGTTCTTATATGAAACATAAATGATACAAATATGAAGAAAATTACAAACACAAATACCAGCTTTACATTTTGGGGCACCCCCAGTTATGCTGTGTAACTTTAAAAATGTATAATCAACTGTCTGACAGACAAACAGAACATAAACATGTATGGAATGTGAGAATAATAATTATTAGTGTATTCTTTATCGAAAGCCAAACATACCTATCCATCAGCACACATCTACCAATATCAGGTACATTACCTATAAAGATAATATTGACATAAGAGTTCTTCTGTGATACATGATAGTGAGCAGTAAATATAAGGAATATCTCCTAAGCAAAGCCATTGTATATTTTTTGTTCCATAACAGTTAACACAGGTCATGCCTTGTTCCCCTATCAGATATTGTAATAAGATACAAACTAAAACTAAATTTAAAACACTTTTCTTCTTGAATGATTTCTTGTACTCTTGTCAATTACCCATAAGTATTATAATTTACTACTGTAGTATACAAATTACAAAATATGTTTCTATGTATGACTAAGTGACATGAAGATGCATAATCACTCATTCCAATTCATCAATGATGTTTAACATGTAAAATCATTAAGCTGTGTGTTACATTTCCTAACTTGTTGTCATTACTCATATGAATTTCACTGCATTCTAATGTTTTACACAATTTAAGTCTTAAATTTATGCAGACTATTACTTAGAAGTCCCAGTAATCGCACAAATTCTGTTATACTAATATCTGAGATTGGATCATAGGTACAAATATAAAAATAATAACCACAGGAATAAAACACTCAAATGTTTAATTCATCAGACGGTTGTCTTCTTGGACATAGAACTGTGTGGTCTCGTACCCAGTGACCAATGTTTCAGAAAAGCTTACTGCCCACATCATCCCATCATTCAGGTGAATCACCATGTTCCTCTGAAGTGTCGCTCAGTGTCTACCAGACTACATAGTGCTACATAACACAAGATGGCCATCTTCATACTCACTTATTGAGGAAACTGATGACATTTACTTCGGGTGATGGACTTTATTAAGTATGACATTCTTGAAATAAAGGATTAATATATTCATACCTCCTTCCCATTAGCCTGGGCTTGAAGAGCATGAATCCACTGCACCATATTCTCAGAATCCTCCGCCTGAAGCAGCAGTTCCGAGCCGCTGAGGGTGTTCAGACGCAGAACATGTTTCTTTTTGGTGTAGTTATCAGCAATGTCAACTTGACTACATCTTACATCAACTGCACTGTTTGTACACTGCTGCTCACTGATAGTATCACCCACATTCAGAGGCGTCTGCAACAATATCACTTGGCTGTTCAGAACTGTGTTGCCAGAATACATATCATGTTCAATATAACACAAGTTTCAAAAAGGATAACACACTTCTGGAAAGGTTCTTCAACAGGTAATGTTTACCATAAGTACATGGAAAACATATAAATTGACTGGAAGAAACTGTGTTAACAAAAATTAATAAAAAAAATTAAAGTAATGCAAAAATGCCAATGAAATGAAGGGGTAATATGTAATTGATGCATATACAAATGTAAATGCATTAACACAGT